TTTGTGTGCGATGGAAAAACGGTCAACTTGTGTCAGACTGATCATTCGAAGTCGTGGAAAGTTGCCGTTATCACTGAAGAAACCATGGATTTGTATTCATGTGACGGCCTGGAGGCTGGAGACAAACTCTTACTATTTGTTAGCAAAGGAAGACTGATCAATTATGGGAAATATGAAGTGGTCACAGCACAAGACGTCACACCGATAGCTGGAGACGAAAAGTAAGAGTGAAAATTAGAGGAAACTTGTGGCCCAAATCTTTTTTGAGAACTACATACCTATATATATAGCTAACATTTTCAACATGATTATAGTAAATTTTGATTGTAAATAATTTACACTTAAACGTTCTAAGTGTCTAATATATTTTCCGAATGGATTCTGGCTTCTGACAGAGTAATATGGACAAACTGAGCAACCACTGGATGACTGAATGTCTAGCCGGCGGACTGACTCACCGACTAAGTGACTGAATGACTTTATGACAGAATAACTTACTAACTGACCAAACGGTTGCAGCTATAAAAATATCCTTGAAGTAATGTTTTCATCCTAGTTCTTTAGTTAATTAGTAATTTGCTATATCAGTCCATCAATCAGTGCCTTCTATTTGTATGATTACAGATCACAATGCCGAGTTGTTTTTGACAAACCCATTACGATGAATCTTGAAAAGGACCACCTAACATGTTTGATCGCTCAAAGGCTTCCCTCATTTGACAAAGTATCTTTACGTAACAAATGTGTCCTGACATGTGATGAACAGAAAGATGGCCTTGGAGGAATTCTGGCCTTTGAGGCTGACAACCTGGTGATCGATAGTACTTCCAAAATAGATATGACTGGAAAAGGTACGAGCATTTTAGAACTTCTCACACCTCTGTTTATGTCTCAGGTTGAAACAGGAATTATATTGGCACTGATTTGCGAATGAGTTATTCGCGATTTTTCTTCTAAAACATAACAGAGTAGAATATTATTTCTCGAATTTTCACAACAAAAGATTGATTTTCAGTTTGATCTTGAACGGCGAGTGCGGTATACTGTTGGTGGTCTACAGTTGAGTTTAAATTCATCGAGAGTATGATTGTAGAATAGTCCAAAAAAATAACGAAAGCTCTAACAAAATGAGGGCATGTGAAGGTTGTCTGAATCTGACCACCTTCAGTTTACTTAAAGAGCCACAAATTTTATGGTGTTTGCGCAAAACTAATAGCTGTTTTGAAGACTACGTCCAGGCTAAAACATTTTTTTCCTGGCAAAATTATTATAATTACTATTCTGATCCTGGCTCTAACAATCCTTGGAATCCTTTGGCTCCACCTGTACCTAGACAGCTTGTTCCCTTGATGTGCCATTATCATATCCTCTACATGTCGTATTCAGG